TTTAATGTTAATTGTAGCTTTATTTTTTCTGAAGATTGATAAAAGAAACTACTGGACCGAGGAGTGCTTCGATCGACACAGAAATTTGGATTTCAAAAAAATTTAGTCCAAAATAAACTTCTCCTCCAAATTTGGTCCAAATCGGAACGTGCCTCGGACACTTGGCGCAGAATGACCCTTATGCAGCTGGAGATTTTTTTTTATTAAGGAGGCATTCAGCCCTGTTCTCCCTTTAATTCGTCTCCGTGAAGGAGAAAACTAAAAGGTGTCCCACATCAAATTGCATCACGGAAAAAAAACGCTGTAAAATATAACCCATTAGTAAGCTTTTGAGATATTTATTTCATTCAACTTCAGTACCATAACCGTACGCTCGCACCTTACGCTTAACTCCACTCATCAGGTTCTGTACAACATCTGGCTGCAGCTTCTTCTGTACGGAAACCCACTTTTTCTTGATGTCTTCCTCAGATTTGACCTCCTTGGGATGCTTCCGTAGTGCCTGCTTCATAATAGTCCAGTTAGTTCCGGTGCGTTGGGGGGGTTCATGTCCTTGGGTACGAAAGTGACCCGTTGGCTTCGTACCATTCCAGGACAACATTTGAATAGTGGCACGAAGCTAGATCCGACCAGAAGATCGTAGGGCCCTCGTGGTGCTTCAGCAGAGGAAGCAGACGCTTCTGTAAACACTCCTTGAGGTAGATCTCCCCGTTTACAGTCCGGTAGTCACGAACGGTGCACTCCGTTTGCCACATGAGCAGGTCAATTGCCAAATCATGTATTTCTTGGCAAACTTTGAAAGTTTCTGCTTCCTTACTTCCTCCGGAACATCAAACTTGCACTGGGCGGTGAAGAACAGTAGCCCCGGAAGCTACCCGAAGTCCGCCTTGACGTAAGTCTCATCATCCATGATGATGTTTCGTCAGCATCTGGGTGTACAGTTTCCGGGCCCGTGACTTTCTTACCGTATTTTACCGTTCGTCACGATTTGGAGCCTTCTGCACTTTGTACGTATGCAGTCCCTCCCGGTCCTTGGCTCTCTGCACGACTTGGACTCGGACAGATTCAACATTTGGCCACATCCCTGACCGAAGTATTGGGATTCCGCTTAAACGCTTTCACGACACGCCTGTAATCCTGATTACTAATAGAACATCCATTCTGACCGCATTTCTCCTTCCGGTCGATGCTCAGAGTTTCGTAGTAGAATTTAATCACACGACTCACAGTTGACTGCACGATTCCGAGTTGTTTTCCGATGTCCCGATGAGAGAGTTGAGGATTTTCCAGGTACTTGCGCAAAATCACTTCGCGACGTTTCTTCTCGGGTGACGCCATTTTCAAGTTATTTCGAGATAAAGAAGGGTTACGCTTTTACCCCGTCAAAAGTGGCCCGTCTTACCGCTGGTTTACATTTTTCACAACATGGTAGATTTTCATATGTTTCATGCATTTGTCAGTCACAGAAGCAGTACAGCCTACTGAAGAAAACAGGTGCCAATAAACGTCAGAAACATCGTTTGTTCATCAAAAAGTCTTTTATTTGATGCTCAAAGATTGTCAAGTTTTGAACCCATCACAGCATGCTTTTTACGCTACTGTATATGGACGATCAAATGTTAAATACTGTGGTAGCCACAGCATAGTTCTGTCAAAACCTCAGCATTTTCATTGATCTATTAATTAGATCGTGAAACCCCCACCGAACGAGAAGTTTGCTTTTATTTATTGTTTTGAAGCTTCATTAGTTCGGGGGCTACAAGGTGTTTCAGAATCTTTTCTGTATTAAGTATTGATAAAAAACTAGAGGATATGGATGTGGTTCCCGCCGGGCGTTCTTACCCCGTATTCCCGTAACTATGTTTTAATCCTAGAATGATACTGGAATTCGTTGGAAAGAATTCAAACGGCAATTCTAACGATAGATAAAACAAAACAAACGCATCTAATCACGACCAAGGCTCGGTGCCGGTGGTGTAGTGGTAAGCGTGACTGCTTCTCACCCCAAAAGATCTGGGTTCGATCCCAGTCAGTACCGCCGGGATTTTCTGAGCCATAAAATCTCTGATCACGTAAAGCCGTTGGTTCCCGGTCCATGAGTTAATGGGTCGATAGGTAGGGATCAGGTGTGGGAGCTGCCTTCCTGGCATCGGTAGTATTGGAGTTGCGACCTATCACAATCACGATCATCAAACAACTGATGGTAGTAAAGCTTGGTACATTCCTATCAATGTGCTTGTCGAAGCACTCTCCATGACCATCCATCAAGTAGACGAAAGAAGTAAAATGCAATTAACCACTTCATTCGAGCAGATTAAATGACGTTTACTACCACTCGAACTTTGAAATGAAACATTATTTTAAGATTTTTTCTTCTAGAACCTCGAAAAAAGTAGCCAACATTTGTGCGTTTCACAAAAAAATAGAAATTAGTTGGTCCAGTTTTGTGAAATCGCTGGTAGAAAGTCACGCCAAAACTGCTTGACAAAGTGGTCAATTGGTGAATGTCGTCTTCGGTGGTGATCTATCACCGATATGGTCATTCCCGACAATCATGACACTCATCTGTGCTCGTTTTGAACCAGTTGCTTCTTTGCTTGCTTATGAGAGTGAGCCCAACAGCTTCCGTTTAATTTTGCAAGCTTTGTTTGTCACTCACACAGTCGCACGTGCCGAGACGAACTTGGAATGCGTAGGCATTATTTTCATTTTCTTCTGTCGTTTCGCTTTTTCTCATCATCGTACTGCATTAGTCTTCACTGATTTCGTTGTGCTTTACATCATCAACAGCGACCATTACTGGTGATTGTTGTTTGCATGGCTGTACCTCTCACTGCGTGACAAATCGTTCTGCCAGGGATAGTCGGTTGATGCGTTGACGAGTGTCGAGTGAGTGTCATGATATTTTGTATCACTGTAGTACTCACTGAACGGAAAACAAATCAAGGAAAAAAGTAGAAGGGTCTGTGCCTAGGGGCACGAACGGAAGCTTGTCGTAGGACCGCTAGTGGACGGAACAAATGTGAAGATCATTTAGTTCTTTTAATTGATCGATCATCTATTATCTTAACTCTTTCCATTTTTGAATTGTAGGCGTACCAAATTTGTAGTATTTTTTCCAAAGAGAAAGTTGATGAAGAGTATCCATGAAAATCACTTGCACCTCTGCTTCCAAGTTTGGTTACAAGATTACAACTCTGGAGAGCATTTTGTGTAGTCGTTGGGGGCGTGTGGTTCTGAATATGGATTAACAGGCACAGATAAATTCTATTCCAACTCTTTACTGTAATAAGCTTGTTGGTCCTGAAAAGGGCCGTTTTGTTGCCAAAGTTGGTGATTATTTAACCTCCGAAACCGTACAGAGTGCGTCTCTGTTGCTTCAAAGTCACCTTCGTAGTAGAACACGCAGATCAGACCGGAGATACGTTTGACACCGCCACGGTGAGCCAGACGACGAATGGCGGTTATTACGAAGAACCTTGCGAAGACGCTTGGCGACCAGTCATTGCTGCTTGTTAGGTAGAAGAGTGGACTACCTATACCTTTTAAGGATAAAGCAGAATGATGTGCGACCAAGTGGTACTCGATTATGACGACAGGGTTTGGGAAGAACGTTTATTTCAGGAAAACAGTGATAAAATTATCACTTTTTATTTGTACATTGAACATTACAATTTTTTCAATAGTTTGTTGTTGAAAATTATCAGTCGTTGCTATTGATGCGTAGAAATTTCTGATCGAATGGTGATAAAAATATTGAAATTGGTCCAGGGGCAGCTGAGTTATTGATGTTCAAAATCATTCATAATTTTGTTACATGTTCCATTTTCGGTTTTCACAAAGTGTACCCCCATATAGAAATCACAGACGTAGTCCTACGTCAAAAACGACCAAGGTATACATCGATCTCTGATTCCTATACGCAGCATGGGTCATGGTTACCAGGCCCTAGTTGAGACCCTAATCCGTTTCTAGATTTCTTACTAAGGACGTAATTTCTCAATTTTAAAATAAATCTTCAACCATCTTGATCATTACTTTGATATTTATTTCACTTCTTTTCGCCTTTAGTTACCACATTCTATATTCTTTCAAATTTAATACAAACTTATCCGCAACGCATGCCTTGTTTAGGGTGTATTTAGTTTTTTTTAAATGATTTTGCTGCTTCTTGTTGTCTTCATCTTCTTCGTTTCACTAGATTATCCCTTATAGATATGAATTAAATTAAATAACTTTCTTATTTGATTGATTTACCATACTTTCGTTTATTAAAATTTCAATACTTTTGTTCCGACGAAAAGCTTTTATCCCTTTAATATCATTGGAATTTTATTACACTTGCGTTCCGCTTATTTGCATTTGCAGCAGTTTGTTGTTTTTGTTGTTGTTGTTGTTCTGGTTGAGTTATTCATACAATTTCAATGCGTGAAGGGAAGGTGTGTGAGTGTATGCAAATTTATAGCTGTGGGGGTGGGAGGGAATAAATATTTGATTTTTTTTCAATGTTTGCTCATTCCGTCGGCTTACTTGCAGGAAGAAAAAAAGCTTTTAAACTGAGTACCTATATGTACAAATATGCTGCAATCTGAGCTCCTGCATTGGCAAATATTTTCAATTGCGATAACCAGTTCGATTTCTGCATGATGGGATCGAATTAATTTTAAATTTTGTGGCCTCCGGATTGAATTTAATTATTTTCTGGTTTTTGTTCGGTCGTGTCTCTTTTGCTGGCAAACGTTAACGGGTTCAATGCTATTTACACTTTAATTAATTTGAGATTTGTTTTGTTCGTCCTGTCGTGGTGACATTTGGGAGCTGTATATGCCTACTACTTTTTGTCGGTGCCATTTTTGTTTGGGAGTGTTCTTTTATCGCGTTAAGTTAAGAAGTGCTCTAGAATGAGAAAATTTCTAGACACTCTAACTCAGTTTTAACGATAGAAGGACACCCATCGGTTCTACAATGAGTTGGATGTTGTTGTTTTTTTTTTCCGAGAAAAGGAATTTACAAAATACATGAGTAATTTTATTGCAATTTTGTCGATGTACGCGGCCGGTTGGTGTTCCACATGTTTTCTTCTTTTTACATGCTTACTACTGTAACAATTGTACTTAAATTTCAAATCCAGTGTTATTTCCATATAGTTCTTCCCATTCTTCAAGTCAGTGACCGGTCGCGATTCGTGCTTAGCCATCATCCGGTCAGTGACGTGTAAAATGCAGATACTCGAATCGTCTTATTGGCTATTATGTTAATATTTACAGCTTTTCATTTTAGTAAGTATTCCGTTTCTCTACGCATGAGAAAATCAAATCTACAGCGTAGCTAAAATATATTAATTTATAAAATTAAGTAAAACGAACTATTTCGAGAGCTAACAGTTGATTTTGTCTTTTGTTTCACGTGGTCTTCAAAGAGAACAGAAATGGTCAACACCGCAGTGAATCCGTGAATGCTTAAAGAAAGTTTAAAAAAAACCTAACAAATCACCTAATATTACCAGGCTCGGGTTTGCAGAGGCAAGTAGCTGCCGCACTGCTGCTGATGACTGTTGGCCATGAAGTTGTTCTGGTTCCGGTACGCCATGGCCAGGCTGTTGGACATGAGACTGTTATTGCACGGCTGCTGCAGCATCTGGCCGGTCACATTGTGACTACCGTTGTACGACGATAGCAGCGTTGTGGTGGGCGTGTCCGGTGAGTGGGTATTGTTAGAATCACTGGTTAGAATCACACTGGATCCACCGCCTCCGCCACCGCCTCCACCTCCACTGCCACCGCTGGACGTTAGGGAACTATTGCTGCCGCTTACTTGCTGCTGCTGCTGTTGAGCCTGCTGCTGCTGCTGCTGCTGCTGCTGATGTTGCTGCTGTTGAGCAGAACCGCTTGAATTAGAGCCGCCGGAACACGGCTTGCCATCTTTAACTAGTACTGGTACGGCCACACGTCGTGGTGAGCTGGCTGACTGGATGAAAAACGAGAACTGCATTAGTGGGTGCTCTGAACAAGGCGTTGTATATAATATTTTTTTTTATATTTGATGATTTTGACAAGGTTTAATAATAATGAAGTGTCTTTATTTTAAAGCAACATTATCGATGCAAATGTCCTCCTGAATTAAATAGAAATACAAAACAATAAAATTTCAGCGCAAATCGACAAAAACGGAATGCACTGTAAAGAGATGATTCCCAATAATAATAGACAGTGCCGAATTATTTATGTTTATTCTAGTTTTTAAAATGTAAGTGAAATGTATGTAATGTTGGCCTAAGTGTTCCTAATTTGGGCCCATACATAAATTCAGCAATCGACTAAATTTTCAATAACAATCATAAATATCCATTAGTACTGTCCCAATGACGCGTTCATCTAGATAAAATTGATAAATAGCAGATTTTTAGCGATGGGCCCAATCTTAGATCCATAGGCCAAGATTAGAGACATTTCCCCTATTGTCTTGAAATGGAGCGTCGTGATTTTGATGTAACCATAATATTGTGAAGATATTGGTTCCATGAGCCAAGTCGGATATCAAAATGAAAGCAATTCGAAATTAAGTTTCTGCTGTTTCATCAAAATGAAAACTCAATTTGATTACAGTTGTCGTCCATTGATGGCAATCGAATCGCTCCTGGGTGCATATCGTACCCATGAACACATGGGCAGGGACCAACGGCATTACTTCAGAGCTTTTTTCACCTCAGAAAAATCCCAATGACCTCAGCTGGGATTGAGCCTAGGAACACTGGGGTGAGAAAGTAGTGACGCTTACCACTACACCACCGGCGCCGTCAATCCGCTAGTTCTCGTCCTCCGTATTATCACAGGATTCCGGTGGCTGATGCTATACCGGATCGCCTGATGGTCGCTCCGGCTGTACCACTCGCACACAATCTCCAGTTCATGCTTGCCACCAGCGACGAACTACAGAAAGTACGGTGCTTTTGTTCGACAGCCAAACTTCAAGCTTTGCTAGAGCTTCCAGTAGTCTATACCATCTTCCGTCGGAACATCTGCTCCGCCAATCCACTGCCCAAGCATTAAAATATCCTCCAATGACGATCGGTTCCGTCCAATGAGCTCTTCAGTAAGTCCATCCACTAACTGCCCCAATGCCCATCTTGGAGGTGCGTAGTAACTGTATACGCAGATTCCATTAATTTTGGTGAGCACGGAACCTTCGTATGAGCTCGCAACCATTTCTTGAATTGGGTATCTACCTATAACTTGTATTACAACCATACATGCTTTATCCATCACCTGCTCTGCCTATCTATAATGCTCTGCAATGATTGCAACGTTGCGCTTTGTTTCCGTTATCGATTGCCACAACAGTGCTGTGTCGCAGGATTGAGGATTCTTTTTGGATTACCTCCATTACTTTTGGCCCACCATCACCTTTTTGATTGCGGGGAATTCTCCATCCGGATTGCCATTGGTACATCTCCCAGATCACACTGTACCTGTAGTGCACTTTTCAACTCTGTGTCTATTGTGGTCTGATGTATAAATATCCCTGCGCGCGACCACTTTTTCCTGGGATAGAGTAGAGAGGGTCTAGTATAAGAAAGGGGCGACTTGCTGATTTTGAGCCAAACGAACTGTCAAACCAGAGCCAATCGAGCAGAGCCTATCTTGATCGCAGTGTTGCTAGAAATCACCTACACTGTACACAAATACCATCCTCTGTTCGAATAAAACCTCTACCATTCAAACCGAAACATCTAAATCGCTGTTCCGAACGATAGCTGCAACCGGATCACGGTTCCTAAGTAACATTGCATGCTTTATAGAGGTTTTATAGCATTCTACAATTCTAAATCATGGTCTACAGAACCCTCATAAAACCAAATTGTTACTTGGGTTGTTTTGTAATCCGATGAATTTCCACTCGAATACAGGATAAACAATGTTATGAACAGGGATAGAGCCTTCAGCTGAAATGCGTAATGATCCCTGCAGAATGATTGTCAACCTTAACTGAAATGGATATGGTACTGGTTCAGCCCCATAACGGAAATCATTCAAAATGATGATGTAAATAATTCTATCGAACGTCATTTGCTGATCTGAGCTGACAAACGAGGTGGAAGCATACACTCAAAAAATTTATCACATATCTAATGGATGAAAACTATATGAATTTCACATAGCTTTCATGTGATCACATAGCTTAAAACCCACCACAAAATCACATGAATATTATGAGGCAGATGAAATTCATATGAAAAATCATATAAAATTAACGTGATCGCATAAATTCCATTAATTTTGTTTATGGATGAAAATCATTTGCGTTTCCAATGGAAGCTACATGAAAACTATTTTCGGTGTAGCTATTGGTCTCAGAGCTAGTACGAGCATGGGTAAAGCATGGAAACCGAAGGTTGTCTATTTTGTGGTGGAGGAAGTTTCCTCTACCAACGGCGAATTTTTGAATCCATGGTTGGTTATAGCTATTCAGAATGGAAATATATACAATCTAATTAAATATCTTATTAAAAGTATGTCTTACATGTCATACTATTCGTAAATTGTTGTCCTCTGAGCGGCTTGACAGCCAATTTCCAAATAAAAATCATCCTTTATTTGAATGACAGTCATATGGATGCTCATCATCTGACGACGAATTCAACCATAAGACAATCATCCGAAATTCGGATGCATATCCTATTCTTTAATTGTTGACATCTGAGCGCTGGATGTTTTACAGCAAATTTTCAAATAAATATCATCCTTTATTTGGATGACAGTTATATGGATGCTCATCAGTTGTTGACGAATTCAACCATAAGATAATCATCCGAAAATCGGATGCGTATTGTTAAAAAGGTCGAGCAATGCAATAATCTTTCGAAATATTGCGGATGTTTTTGTACAGTGTGGGCAGTTTGGCTTAAAACCGCTCCTCTCTTACACTGCACTGAACGAGAACATCCGCAATACTTCGAATGATTATTGCATTGCTCAAGCCCTTTAACAATATGCTTTCGAATTCCGAATGATTGCCTTATGGTTGAATTCATCAACAACTGATGAGCATCCATATGACTGTCATCCAAATAAAGGAAAATTGGAAATTATTTGAAAATTTGCTGTAAAACAAACAAGGATGACTTGCAAATGCTGTAAATTAGATTTGAAATTCTATTGTTCACATTTCCATATTGAAAACCAGTTAACAGTCTTTCCATAATGGATACAAAAATCGTTTGTTGATAGAGGAAACATTCTCTACCACAAAATAGACAATCTTCTGTTTCCACGCTTTTCCAATGGTGTTAACACCTCTGTTAGTGATGAATATGTTTTCACCTCGTTATTCGTTTTGGATGATTTGCGTTATGGGGCTGAACCAATTCCATATGCATTTCAATTTGGGATGACAATCATTCTACAGAGAGCATTACCTATTTCAACTGAAGTTCGTGCGCTTCTCATCCTTCAATGTTCATCCTGTATTTGAGAGAAGCATGATCTGATTTACATAGTTGAAGATGCTAACCGTCAAATGCCTCCCTTCAGATAACGACTTGAGTGCGGTACAATCAATAGAACTGTTTCTACACATCGTAGGTACATGAGCAAATCGGCGATCATCTGTTTTTGCCAGTGGTGGCGGAAGGATACCCCTCATCATCCCTCGCCAACTGGGGAGTTTGGTAAAGAGAGATGATCAACCCGATTCGTACCTTCCTTAAAGTTGTCCTTGCTCGCTTTCTACTCTCTAGATACAATTTCCACACTGCTGTACTCTAACGGAACTATCAACTCTATAATTTCATCTCCTCATCGATCGTATAAAAATGACCACTTTGAGTATGTTATTTGATGGTTAAAGTATGATCTGATTACAAAACAATTGTCATCCGGTTGCAATTATCATTCGGAAAATCGATTTCGATGTTTCGATTTGAATGGTCTGAGGTTTCATTCGAACAAAGGATGATGTTTTAGTACAGCTCTAGGATAGAGCTTTTACGTTTGCCTCCTTGCCTACTGTGTTACCTAACTCATAACGAATAAACTTTGTATCCGTGGTGCGTATAATTTAACATAGCATTTTCAATACAAACATAGACGAGTTCATGTGCCCGGATACAACGTATATTCGTTATGAGTGCGGTAAGACAGCTGCGTCTCTAAAGGCCCACGCACATTAGATCCGGATCGGACGCGTTGCGGCAAAATGACAGCTAAATCTATTGTCTAACTGTCAAATTTACGTCAACGCAACGCAAACGGATCTAATGTGGGTGGCCCTTAACAATTACGAGACAGCTGAGAGACTCGTGATCAGTGCTGATACAAATCATTCCTTCTACACTCAACTTAGCTGAAAACGAAGACAACCTTTACCGATAGACCAACTACCTGCATGAATTTGAATTTTGACATAAACACATTCTCTTGATCAAGGCAACCTCTAGGTATCGAAGTCAACATTTGTTTTTTTCATTCGTGGCTGGATGTTTATTATCGCCGTTGTCAATATCAATATTCATCTTCATCTCGATGGGGATGATTTTGGGGATCAAATGCAAAATGATTATTTTCATGTAAAACAAAAACAGAGCTGTAGAAAGTGTTGTGTTGATTTTTATACACAGATTGATGGAAAATTATTGCCTCATGCTGAATTGATGATAATATCGAGGTTTTAGGCTCTGGAATCGGCATTATTCAAAATAATCATTTTGCCCAAAATGAATTTGATTATCTTGCTTGTGAGGATCGCTTCTGATTTTGACAATTTTGGGTTGGATAATCAAGCAGTGGTGAATATCAACAAACGCGTATTCGTTGATGTATATAATGAACTCATATTACTGATATTAAAAAAAAATCATCTACACTGGGTTGAAGCGCTGCCCCTTGCGTGTGATGGTAAATGATAAAAACAGACACTGCTCGTGATTTCCCGATAGTTAACAACATCGTGACGATTGCCACGTTTGAAAATGGGTGTCATAAAAAATTGCTTCCAAATGCGATGGAATTTTGCTTGCTGAAGCTAGCGATTGAAGATATGACACAACGGTTGTGCTAAAGCGGCAGATACAACGACATATTATAACTGCAGGTAAACTGTCAGGACCAGAGACAAACGAACGTTTCAGCTTATTTGCAGCCATTTCTGGGATTTACAGCAAATAGTCCAAGCTGAACAAAATCAGTAGGAACATCCTGGGTGGCCTCATCGATTTCCAAGTTTGAGGCGGGAACTGGCATGACCATGTAGCTGACGCTGAGGTTTCGTTCAAATAGACATTCGTTGAGATCACTGCACTTTTCCGTTTGGAGTTAACAAAGCGCCAAAAACCATGTGGATTTCGTCTCAGACCCATTTGCACACGCAATACGTAAAGTAGAGAATGGCATTCAAAAACAGGTCCTACGCATTGCTGGTTTATTGAAAACTTCGTTTGTTGCCAGGCGTTCGTTGACGACGTAGTTTCCATGGACAAGCATTGCGAGTGCGTTTTAAACCTCGAAAACGAAGAGTATTCCAGCCGGGCGAAACTGACGGCCGAATTCGTGGAACATTCGAAACAATCGTTCAAAATGGAACAAAAAATTTCCACCATTCCATCGACCTCGATGATAGTAGAAATCGCATTCCAGTCAACGTTTATCAAAAAGTCCTAAAGGGCCGCAAAATCAATCATTCGAAAGTTAAGAGGTCGCTCCTCATGTCTTTCAATCGGTTCGTCACACACCACAAGCGCGGGTAGAGAGATCTCAAGTGGGGGGTGGTGAGAGTCAACGGGTAGCAACGGAGCTGAGCAGCTAATCACATTAGCCTCACAATCAGGCAAGATCGAGAATGCGATCGAGCGGACTGCGCACATGTTTCCTTTGGCCAAGGCCCAAATTATCCATAATCCAAAAGGGTGCTGTGAAACATCACATTGTCAATTGAATACCAGCGCATGCGTGGTTGGTTAAAATCACCACATACCAGCAGAGCGTCACCAGTCGAATACTTTACACAAAGCTCATTAAGGGAGGAAACGTGGTCATTGATTACGATTACATCTTGACTATTGTCCGGTGGTTTGTCGATTGTACAAATTAAAATCTTTCTGCCTTTGATCATGGAGGCAACGCATATTTGTTCCAAGCTTTGCCCACTCTCGGTTTGTACAATTCCACGGTGTGAATGAATTCCCTTAGTATAAACTTGGTATGTAATCTGTTTTTTTTTCCAGTAACATTCTAGGAATTCTCTGCAAACAACTCTTAACACTGTCTGAAATACATAGAAATCACTCTACAACATTATCATTCTCTCAAACTGTTCCCAACAGTTCACTTAATTTGGTCTTTATAATTGCCTTGATATAATTTACAGGACTTCCTTGGTTCACCCTCCAGCATCAGTTTTGCATTCTTTTCAGAGATGTCTTAGTACTCTGAGAAGGTTATGGAATTCAAAATCTTTTGACGTTTTCCTCTTATAATTGGCTTAAAAATATCCTCAATTATTATTATCTAAATTCCGTTGAAACATTAACCAGAATTTCCATTGAGTTCTTTTTAGAATTTTCTGCTTATATTTCCTTGTATTTAAAATGAGCATTTCTTTAGAATTATACTCAGGAAAAAACTGCCTTTAATTTAAATTAAAAACTCTTTTTAAATTCTCCACACAATCCCTCAGAGTTATGTTGCAATTCAACAAGGGGTTCTTCTCATAACTCCCCAGGAATCCTTTTCAGAATCAACATAGAATTCTAATCCTAATTTGATTTAAATTATCCTGGAAAAGGAATCTTTCATGGTTATAATCTTCAAATGAGCTGAATCCATCATCTAGAATTTATTTTCCAGCATCTAGATAAAAAAACTTTCATGTTCAAGATTTCTTAAACAATTTAATTTCTAATTTTGCGTAGGATATATTTTTTTAAATGCTCAAGTTGTACCCTTCTAACCTCGGGTAGGCCACGAGTATTCGGCCCAACTCCTACTAGACATAGAATTAAGTGAATTTTGTTTCAAACAAAGAACAATTAATTATTGGCTCCGTAATGCGAACGCGATTGAGCCTTCCAAATAAACGAACAAGATAAAAAACAGTACATACCATTCGAGTAGATTTTATGTAAATTAAATAAAAGTAAAATTTCTAACAACTACTCCAGTAACCTTCTTTTTATAATACCAAAAGTTATTGCCTCTTTGATAATTTCCAATCTTCATAAGCGAAAATATCAGAAAACATACAACAATGAAACTGGTAAATTGCATCACTGAAAAAACGCTGCAGAAAACTACCCATTGGGTATTTTCTCTTGAAATTTTGTGTAGAAGTAGTTCAGAGTGTATTGTTTACACTTTATTTTTATCGTTGTCAGTTTTTCGAAAGTTGGAAAAAATGGCGTCACCCATTGATTTTGCGCAAGCCCCTGGAAAATCCTAAACTTTCTCATCGGAACATCAGAAAACAACTCGGAATCGAGCAGTCAACTGTGAGTCGTGTGATTAAACGTTACTATAAAACTCTGAGCATAAAAAAAGAAGAAATGCGGTCAGAATGGATGTTCTATTAGTGATCAGGATCACAAGCGTGTCTTGAAAGCGTTTAAGTGGAATCCCAATGCTTCGGTCAGGGATGTGGCCAAAAAGTTGAATCTATCCAAGTCTTTCGTTCAAAGTGCCAAGGACCGGGAGGGATTGCATACGTACAAAGTGCAGAAGGCTCCACATCGTGACGAACTGCAAAATACGGTGAGAAAGTCACGGGCCCGGAAACTGTACACCCAGATGCTGACGAAGCCTTATTGGATGATCAAGGCGGGCTTCCGGCAGCTTTCGGGGCTATTGTTCTTCACCGCCTAGCACAAGTTTTATGTTCCAGAGGAAGTAAGGAAGCAGAAACTTTCAAAGTTTGCCAAGAAATACATGATGTGGCAAACGGAGTACGCCGTTCGTGACTCCCGGGACTGTAAACGGGGAGATCTACCTACAGGAGTGTCTATAGAAGCGTCTGCTTCCTCTGTTGAAGCAACACGAGGACCCTACGATCTTCTGGCCGGATCTAGCTTCGTGCCACTATTCAAATGTTGTCCTGGAGTGGTACGAAGCCAACGGACCGGAACTAAGGATCATCGAAAACTAATGGGCTATTATGAAGCAGGCACTACGGAAGCATCCCAAGGAGGTCAAATTTGAGGAAGACATGAAGAAAAAGTGGGTTTCCGTACAGAAGAAGCTGCAGTCAGATGTTGTACAGAACTTAATGAGTGGAGTTAAGCGTAAGGTGTGAGCGTACGGTTATGATATTGAAGTTAAATGAAATAAATATGCCAAAAGCTTAATAATGGGTTATTTTTTAATGTCTCAAAGTTTGAAAAGAATCGGTCAACTAGGTAATTTTCTACAGCGTTTTTTCCGTGATGCTATTTAATGTTGGACACCCTTTATTTCACGCTGGGTGCAACAAACATAGGGTAGACATTTCATGAACTATTTCACAATATTTTCTAAGACTTGTTATATAGGCAGTAAGAAGTGGTACTGCAAGACACCCATAATATCTTAAATCATTTAAGTTTCAGTTTATGCATTTTTTCATAGAACAGCTTACTTAAGTAGAAACGACACTATTAAGTACGAATTTTACCAAGCAGTCCAATGGAGTGTTGTGCTCAATGGCATAGTTCTCGAGTTAGAGCCAAGTTATGGCAAGCATAGATAGACCAAAACATTACTAAGTTCAATAACTCAGTAATTTTTGAGATTTGATCATATGCGTAGAACAATTTTTTACTTCAAATATGATCTTCTATCGCCCCTTAAATTATTTGCACTAAGGAATCGAACACCCTGTATATACGATTTGGATAAAATGTTCAAATACATAATGCTCATATGCATTCAAAAGTGAATATCTCAATAAATCTAACTGGATTCATGATATAGTATTCAGTAGAGTTGTTACACATTGTTCAACCTACAAGCTATGTAAATCTCTACCAAATCGAGAAAATAAAAACTTTTTAATAAACGAATAAGTAAAGGGGTGTCATTTTTTCATATATTTTAACCAAATATATTTTACAAAATTCAAACTAAAAGCGCCAGCTCATCTTACAACAAAATGAGCTGAAACTATAGCTATAGCAGAGAGTGGTTTTGTCACCCAAAGGCACAAACCTAGAGGTTGGCATGTGAAAAATTGGAGCTTTTATTTTGACGTAGGATTAAGTCTTTCGGCAACATATTGGGAGTGAGCCGGCGCCGGTGGTGTAGAGGTAAGCGTGACTGCTTTCTAACACCCCAATGGGTCTGGGTTCAATCTTAGTCGAGGTCGGTGGGATTTTTCTGAGGCATAAAAATCTCTGGTCACGTCTTCCTTCGGAAGGGAAGTAAAGCCGTTGGTCCCGGCCTATGTGTATTGAATGGGTGCGATATCCTACGCAGGTGTGGAAGCTGCCTTCCTGCACATTCGATTGCCGTCAGTGGATGGCAATCGATGTCCGTCGGTGATTGGCACTAGATTGCGGAACAGAGACCGACGTTAAATAATGGAAAAAAAATATATTGGGAGTGAAAATTCAAAAAACCAAAATCGACCGCGTTACTAAAAGTGGTCAGGTTTTGACTACTTATAACTCTGTCAATAGCGGATGGATTTTAGTTCCAAACAAGCCAATCGATTGGAATTTTTCGACGAATCTGCTAAAATGAACACTTTATCATTTTTAAATAGGTCACTTTTGAAAATTACACACATGACCAACTGTTGCAATGGTGATCAAAACTATCACCGATTGCCTGCAAAAAGCGATTTCCCTAATACAATCGCCGAATAATACCGAGCACGTAATCCTACGTCAAATCTTCGGAGTTGTCTTGGATACAACCTCTTACTTTTTTTTTGGGCCAGTCTAGTACAACATATATGACGCAGCATCCAGTTAATTATCCAAAGTTAAGCACCGATACTAACCTGATTATGCTGGTTCTGCTCTGCCATTGCCTTCTCCTTGGCTTGCCGTTTGCATTTGTATCGATGATTCTGAAACCATATTTTAACCTGCAAAAGAAGAAAGAGACGGGAAGAGAGACAAAAATCAGTTTCAGGTTTATAAGTCTTGTTTTCTTACAGCAGATTGGGTGTGTCGTCGCCGTCGGTTGGTTTGAAATAAGAAGGAAATGTTGATTTCAACCAGAGCCATCAGGAACGCGGGCAGTGAACCAAAGCGAAGACGCAATCGAGGGAAACAAGATGGCGTAGGCCGAAGGAAAAAGTAAAACATAGAAGGCCAGTAGACGTTGAGTCGAAAACGGGCAAACCAAAGGGAATCGTCCGCCGTAACTGTCGTAGATTTGCCGCAGTAGAGCAGTTTCCGAAAGAGACACACGAGAATGGCGCGGATCGTTTGAAAGTCGCGAGGGAAAAAAGAGAGCGTTGCAAGGTGTATTCAGACCCGAGCGTGCCTGAGCGGAGCGGATGAGGGAGACAATCAGTGCTTTTCTCTCTCTCTCTCTTACCAACGCAAATCCCGCCCCGCGTGTGCCAATATCGTTCATGTCTGAATACAGCTTTATAACTCCCTCTTGTTGACGCGCCTTATTGTGTGCGCAAGAGCTGTAAAGAGCCATCTTCAGACCTCTTTCTGTGATTCACGTGCATACTCGCGTTGAGGAGGAACTTTTTTCGATGTTTTCTTGCAAACCTGCAGAGTGCCAAGCACCACACTGACTGTGGCGGTGCAGTACGCGGCAGCATTTCGTTTCTTCTCGAGTATCATGGCGTTTGTGTACACCTCGCACCCCACACCATTTACATGTCTCACTGGGTACGGAAGTGAACGCCAAGTGTGTTGCCTATGTAGGGCGCAAAAGTTTCACGAGCTTCAAAGTGTTCTAATTTCATTAGTGCCCCAGAGACCAACGAGTGTAGGAATGTAGGAGGGCTACGTGTTTGATGGAATCGTCAGCGCCACCATCTCCACACGCGTGGTGTACCTAGTTTATTAGGCTCCTCCGACAATCATACTTTCGGTTCAAGTAGACTGAAATTTATGTTCGAGTGGTTGGAAATGCTTCAGCTTGAGCTTCTTCGTTCCGGTTAAGTTTAACCGGAAGCAAGAGGTCCCGCATAAAAGCGAAACATAATTTGACCTTACCGAAAATGGTTAAAAATTGTTTATAATCCCTGCTGAACTTTAACTGAAATGGTTATGGAACTTAACAAGAACGTTTGTGTGATAAAGTTTTAACCTTATGTGTTGTTTTTTTTTTTAAGTTGACCTAAATAATGGGTTGTTAAGAACCATTACCATTCCTAATTCTTGTTTTCTCCATACATTTTCGGAAAGATAACTGTTAGAACCTTTTTATTTATATAACTTTAATGGTAATGGTAATGGTTATGGTAGTCAGTAAGATCCATGGATGGCTTTGTAACATCGATCAACTTTATGTGGAGTATATCGCGAATTGGTAATCAGTAATTTACAGGCAACCAATTCGCGATATTTCTTTTTCGCATCATTCCTTTTTATGGACTTCGTGGGAGACTTTATCAATGTTTTGCCATTCTTCCTAGTTTTTAGCCAAGTTCACTACCCGAGCAAAGTCGGTTAAAAGTTTTCATGTAGTTTCCATTGGGAGTGCACATGATATTTTTCCATTAACAAAACCAATGATATCTATCTGAATTTCACATAATATTCATGTGATCACATGAGTTCTATAAATTAAATTTCATTTGACACACAAGGTTCATGTGATGTGCAATTCCCAATTATGAATACACAAGAAAGTTATGTGAAATTCTAATGAATATTTTCCATTGGCTATGTGATTTATTCTTTAAGTGTATACTTCTAGAATGAGTAAATTTTTCGTCGATTTTTGTCATATTCGGAAAGATTTATGAGGCTCGGAAAATTTTACTAAGTCTACAAGTAAACTATGTTATCAAAAGTTGGAGTAATTTAAACATAAATTTGAGTCGATCTTATATGCCACGTAGTGTGGAAATCCGTTAGTAACTTAGTACTGGTCCTTTTGCACGCCAGCAGCGTGGGAACGAGAGATTCAACTTTCCACCACCTAAATATGGAGAAATCGACAATCAAAAGAGCAATTTATAAGCTTCGTGCTTAAAAAATGTCGATGAATCAGGATCAGAGTTGCTGAAACGATTCAGATAGGAAGGAAGGAATATCGAAATAAAGATCATCGAGAAATGGAGAGTACTGTACAACGAAGCCAAGTACGATGAATTGGCGCTAAACACTGCTGTAACTATTTTACAAATACAGTTTTAAAATAAGATGTAATAAGGAACATATTCATTACATTTTGCAAAATAATTACACACCTGGGGGAGAAAAACTTGGCTAAATATAACACAATTTGCTGATACCAACCTTTTAACCTTTCTCGTACACCAAGGTGTACTGAAAGGCTATGGTATCACTTGAAAAATTGAGAATGTGAAAAATTTTGTTCGAAGACCCGCAGCTCAGCAGTGGAACTTCGGATCAGAAAGTGGATCCACTTGTCATTTGCGAACACTAGCGCACCTAGCGGTAGAAGACATATTCTGCCTGCAGTTAAGATAGGCAGCATGCTATGATAGTGTGAGTGCACATAGAAAACCCGTGTGGAACGCTACCACAACACATCGCTTGTTGAGCAGAAAAACCACTTTTTGATTCACCAATTTGTTTGCACTTCCCCTTCTGTTATGTGCCCGCAGAGACGAATGGCATATACCAATAGACTCATCTCAACGGGATCGGAAAATTTTTCTGTGTGTGTACATTTATGTATCTACAGTGAATTTCAAAATTGACAATTGAGGACATTTTTTGAAACATAGTGCATAGTTTTTTTTTAAATCGTGGCTGGTGGTTGAACAGATGATTATTGATTTATTGCTATAGTTTTGGTCTTTATTGGAAGAGCCTATATGAAGTTAGATTTATTTTAGTAAAACACTCAACTTTTTACCTAGTGGACGAATTTAAGTGAAATTATTGGCATATGAATGATCCTTACTACGGCTAAAAATGAGCAAAATTTCAAGAAGTTATGTTCATTTAATTTCAAGAAAATAAGGTTCTTCAAGTAAAAGGTGTTTTCCTTAAATTACTCTAACTTTTTGTAAAATCAACCAAATATGCCTAATTATGAGATAATAATTGATAAAGGTATGCTGAGTCAGCTGCCAAAAACTCAGAGCCGTATCTTTTTAACTTGTGCTTTTAGAGCCGTTTTTCTAAAATTTAAATACAGCTGTACGATCAATTTTGAAATACACTGTATGTATGTATGTAAGTTCGTATAAGTGAAGCTCACTCTTCAGGTTCAATTGGCTAAACTTGGTGAGTTCGTTCCAGTTTGTAAATTTTTATCTTTTCAAACCAGTAAAGTTGGGAGATCACCTTTTTTTGGTGCGTTACTGGTATAGGATCTACCACCGAACCTTAGTCGTGACAATTTCAAACTAGGGAATCAGGATTTTCCAGTAATCAAAGGATTACATTTCAGTGCTTGTTACTTTTTATGACTTGATAATAGTGACAAGACTCGGGTAGTGACCAACGCCGTTATGCATTTCTATATTGTATTTTTCAAATCAAAAATATTGTTTATGTTCATAGAGTTTACATAATCCATTTCCCTTTGTCCTTCTCCTTTTACTTTCCCTCTTCTCTTTTCAGAAAGCGAGTAATGGCGCTATAGCCATAAGCCATAAAAGTACAGGAGTGGAACTCAGAAAGTGGCTTCACTTGTCATTTGCAAGCACTAGCGCACCTAGCGGTAGAAGGCATCTTCTGCCTGCAGTTAATATAGGCAGCATGCTATAATAGTGTGAGTGCACATAGAAAGCCCGTGTGGAACGCTACCACAACACATTGCTTGTTAAGCAGAAAAACGAACCACTTTTTGATTCATCGATTTGTTTGCACTTCCCCTTCTGTTCTGTGCATAAAAGGCTAGGACAAGAGTTGGTGCTCATGTCCCAACCGTCAGAAGAAAATGGAGCATCACTTAACCTTTCTAGCTTTGATGCTTCCAACAACCAAATAATCATATAATTACCAAAATAGGAACGTACGGTACGAGATGTCCACGTTTCATCCATTTATTAGATTCTGAAGCATCGTGCATCCAATTTGAGTGGAGCAAGTTCCAAAATATGTTTTTCAGATCCCCATAGATCGCTATTTTTTTTATTCCCGATCGGAATTATGGGTCCGAATTCTAGATTCCACTGGGGAATTCGCAAAAATTGATATATCAAAAACTCATCATGAAACACCTAAAATAACATCTGAATTTTACTATAAGATCAATCGTGGACATATTCAGACCCAATGATCACAATGGCCTCTTTCAGATGTACCGGGTACCCCCGGAAAGTCGACAGATTCTGACATGCGCCGAAATGCATCGTGCGATACTTCAAATCACATGGAGCTCAACATAATGATTGATTTTCCTTAACGTATAGCTTAAACGCTGTCCAGACTGGAGAGTTATAACATGTTATAACGGTTGTCAACTAATTGCAAAACAGAAACCATCATCAAGATAGCGCTATAACATGTTATAACTCTGTAGTCTGAACGTACTATTACTGTTGTGGTTAATGCAGTCACCGGGCGGTCCCTTGTTTCAGCGTGAGAGTATTCGTGAACGAGAAGAATATATAGGATAAATGTCAGTCGAATTGTCAGACGATACAAATGTCAAATGTAGAATTGCTTTGTCATTATCTGGTGAATCGAGTGCAACATTATATATTATTACGTAAATATTATACTACAGTAAATTAGTACCTTTTATTTGATTTATATTCTTATTTCTAGACTGGATAAGAGAAAATTGAATTCTTTATTTGTTACATTCATTGGTACATTGTGTAAGGAGACTAAATGTAAGAAAACATGAATTTATATTGTTGCTATCCTAACCTTAAATAAAATTACAGCTTTGAGCTATCTTGATCGGGAACACAGACGAGTTGCTTTGAAGACCTCCGAAATAATTTCAACAATTACCTTTGAAAAA